TCCCGGGCGTGACAGATCAGATCAGTGGCACCCCAACCAGCCACTGCAGGTCCTTGGGTGTGAACAGGTAGACAGCACCAGACTTCCAGACTTTCAAAAGCTACTTGTAAATTTAGATTCCCCCACTCCTGTAGTTCCTTTGAGAGCAGACTGGATCATTAAGTGTCCCTAATGAGGAGCCGCAGGATCACAGCACGCTGGAGCTAGGAGGGAATTTAGAGAGCATCTCTCCACCAGACCCCTGAGATGGAAGAGCGCTTTTCCCCAGTGAGTTACCACTCAGTGTTCATATCTGCCAACAACAATACCAGCAAAACACAAGAAACTGGGCATTTAATGATTCAGTGAAAGAACGAGCCTAATTCAGGGAAATCTTACAGTTGCCCCGAGGTTTATGCTAGCAGCAGAAAGCCCCAATCTTCTTCCGAATTCTGCAATCCAAGGCAAGTCCATAAAGCCAGAGGGGTTTTTAAAAGCCAGGTTAACAAAATAGCCACGCAGTATCACATGGAAAGAGCCCAGAACCCAAGTCTCTTCTGACTCCTGGCATGCCCTAGATGGCAAACCTTGTGTCTTCAATAGCTTTACTGGGGCCAGGGTAAACACACTTAATGCAGAGAAAGAAATATATATCATAGCCTTTGTTGATTGTCCTGGAAGGGCAAGAGAATCTGAGGCAGTTAGCAGCAATTGCTAGGGCCCCAAATCCCCAAACAAAACTTTAGGAATGCATTCTGCCCTTTTAAAAGGTAAAACCACCTCCCAAGAAAATCACCAAAAGACAATTTCCAATGCCAGTGCAGAGGAAACCATTTCCCTGCACCCTGACCTACACAGCTGGTTAACTGGGGTCTCCCTGCAAGCTGGTTAGTGTAGCAGGTGTGCCTTCCCTCCCGTAGCTGTCTTTCCCCCACAGAAAAGATGCATGTGGCCTCCGGGATGGGCAATATGGGGCCGACATACCACGGAGCCCTTGGCGGACACAACACCGCTGCTCAGACATACACCATGGAGATCGCACGGCATGGGAGAAGCCACAGGCCTGGCAGATCAAACCCACAGCACACCGGCAGTCGAGGTTCCTGGGCACCCAGGCTCCTCGGCCACCCTTACACGGTGAGGGCGGTACCCGCCGGCGCCTGGACGGTGGCCTGCAGGTGAAGGATTCCGCTCCGTGCTGCGCATCCCCACATCCACACACAGGGACATGGAGCTCAAGACCTTGAAGAAATCACCTCTGACCTTTGGCTTGCTTACCTGGATCTGAATTCTTCTGTAATAGTTTTAGCCAGTCCAGGTGGACCCTTCTTCAGGAGTAATTAACCCCATTGTCTCACAGTCAGAGAGTGCCCAACATGTCCAAAGCATGTCATGGAAATTATTCCTCCGTGAAATTAGAGACCTTCCCTCCCTTTATGGGTTCAGCCTGCTAAGGAGAACACATGTGAGGCTTAGTTCAGAAAGGCGTTCTCTTTTTTTTAGTGAAAAAAAAAAAAGTAGCCAAAAGAGCAGGGAAGGGAGGTAAAATACATCATAGCCCAGCCAGCAGAATCCCCTGGTCTTACCATTCATTACATGTGATGTTTTCAAATGGACTCTTAGTATCCTAGTTGTGAGAGGAAAGAGTAGAAGGAACCAGCCGATGTGTTTGCATGCTTAGTTTCTGTCTATGACACTGAACTCGAGAGAGCTGCGACCTTTGGAGAAACCAAAGATGGCTCAGATGACTTGGGTGGATAAATTAACTCAGTGCTCTTTGCCGACAAGTTGAAGTTTCCTAACTGTAAAGCAGAACCAGCAGGCAGGAACGGAGAAGGTCTGCCCCACAGATGGAGAAGAAATAAAGCACTGAAACTCAGCCTGTGGGACCTCCCCAGCCCTGGGGTGCAGGGCCAACGGGGCTCCTTCTGGTCAGCAAAGCAAGTTCTCATCACCAAAACCAGCTTTAGAGAAGCTGGCTTATTAATCTCTGGAGGCCTGGGAATCCTCCTCCAAGCCTGGAGACCAGGGAAAAGGGCACACAGGCAGGGGTGCAGTCCCCAAGGCAGCGGGAGTCTACGTTGTTGCCCCAGGAGAGGCCACTTCCCTCCCAAGATGCCTGGGATTTTCCACCTCATCAGGGGAAGGTAACTGAGGACACAGCCACACAAGGAGGGCCAGAACAGATGACCCCCCTGCACAGTTTTGAGTGAGAAGCCCAGCAGGGCAGATGTACCCTACCCTGGCCTCGGGAGAGCCAGGCCCAGCCACAGCACACCTGTGCCCTTGGAAAAGCTGAGGCCAGACCAGGAGGTCACCGGGAGCTGCATACAACAGGACATCAGAGCTGAGGCTGTGAGGTCCAAGACTGAGACCGGGCCCGGTGGGAAACTGTCCAGAGCTTTGCTCTCCAGGCCTAGTTGCTCTCCAAGATCAGGTGGCCCTTTCCAAGTAGACACACCACACGTCCCTAATGTTTTCTCTCCATGTAATACCACCTCTTTTCCAAAAGCAGAGCACTTCCCCAGAGACTTACAGTCCTGGTATCTGCTCAGGGAGTCTCGGTCCTGGAAGAAGCTGTTAAATAACCCACTGTTTCAGTTACAAATTTTTTATGACTTAGTGACAAGTGAAACCACATCTGACAGCAACTGCAAGTTCCTTAGTACCAGTGACTTCTCTTTTTTCCTTGGGATACTCCCTCCCGCTAAATCACAGATCCTCCCACCTCCAAACCCCTGAAATGAGGACCAATAGCACAATGTCACATGTCAACCTGCGAGATGTGGGCAATACCTCTTCTCTAGAAAGCACAAGACCACATGGGAGTTACTTCTCCCCCTTCGCCCCCAGTGCATTGATGGATACGCTGCACTGGCTCCACCAACATGCAGGAAAGCAGGCACACACAGTGACTCTGAGGGCCGAACCAGCCAGCCCAAGCTGTGGTGGTCAAAAAAGCAAAACGACCTCGGTTTCCCTTCTTCCTCCCCATACATTCCCATTTGTCTTGCCTCTTTGGGTCTCAACTGCCAGTCTCTTCAAATCCAGTCATTAAGGTTATATTAGTCAGTAAATGCTGACAGCACGACCTTTCCCGGTCCCTTGTACATATTAAAATATGAGGAATAGTTCCCCAAGTGGACAATCCATTGACAGCCAAAGGAAGGTAGCTGTCATGCTGGAGTTATGGGTGTTGCATTAACACTCAGGAGCAACAAAAAGCCCATTTCTCCCACAAGCGAAATGAAGACCTTGGACACTAGCATATGCAAGGTGGAAGGCCATGTCTGCCAGCGTGACCCCACAACTTCACCTTTCCTGGATGCCAGAGGCAACAAGACCTGGGGTTAAGTCTGGTTCCCTCACCTTGAGGCCTTTCAAGATTTTGAATAATGATAATGACCATGGACTGGGAAGGCTGCAGGATTCTGTCACAAAACACTTTGCAGAAAGCCTTGGAAAAGTGACAAGACAAAGGCTGTGCTCATTATTTAAATTGGAAGACCAGGTTTGTGGTCCCGAAGTTTTCAGAAAATAGAGAAGAAATCACTTTTTTCCCCTTCATTTTCCTCTCTCTCCAGTATTTTCAGCCAAAGAGAGTGTCATTTCTTCAGAGGAAAAGTGACTGGGTGATCAGCTGATCACAGTGGTCTGGCTCACAGAGTTCCTTCACAGGCGAGACACCATGCGCTCAGCTGCAGGCGCCCTCCCAGGCAGAGACCCGGAGCCAAGGAATGTCAGGGAAATGTCATGGAAAGAGCAAGTGTTGACTGCGGGATCACTACTATGCACCAGGAACTATAAACACTTTGTCTCATTCGGTCTGCCCAACAGTGATATGGGAAGAACTGTTATTATTCCAATTTTATAGAAATGAGCAGAAAAGGGCACAGGGTCTTGGGGCCATGTCACCAGGGTCAAATAGCAAGCGACAGAACGAGGCTTTAAACCCAAGTTGTGCGACTCAAGAGCCCATGGTCTGCCACATGGCATCCTATGGAGCACTCACTGCACAGATGACATCAAGACAATGCAAAATTATAGTACGTGTGATCTGCGTATGAGTGTATGTAGATACATGACCCATGAGCCAATCATGAGAATACAGAAATGAGCACTTGAGTGGCCAAGGCAGCCTCACCCAGATCCGGGTAACAGAGGACTGCGTTGAAAATACTGGGGGTCGTGTCCTACTTCTGGGGAGAGAGGCTGGGAAGGAAGGAGACTCGCTTTTTCCTATACACCCTGATGTCCTGTTTGAATATTTTATAATATACACGTACTTCCTATTTTCAAAACTTTTCGTTGAAAAGAAAAATCTGTATTGGAAATTTACTGAGTCACATTTTCTAAAAAACAGGTATGTGAAGAGAGCAACCCCACGCACAGAGGCCTGCCGCGAGCATCACAGGGGAGCCGGGAGAGGCGGCTTCCTCCGGGGCAGGAGAGAGGGCTCAGCCGGGGGTGTCTGCGTTGCTCAAGACCCAAGAGCACTAAAAAGGAAACCATTCAACCATACTCTCCCATTTTCATTTTCGAATTAACACCCCTGCTGCCCCCACAGCCAGCGTGCCTCTGTTTAGAAAGTCAGTGGAAGAATGGATGACTTCACTTTCTCCAACAGGTGGGTCCTCCAGTGTTGTGAGCAAAATAAAAAGCGAGTAAATCTACTCATATTTTAAATACCGTAACAGAGGTCCTTGTTTTAGCAATCCTGACCGAGATCCTCTTTGCAAAGCAAAGAAGCTGATTTTGAGATAACACTGTGTTTTGTAAATACTTTTTTTTCCCCCTGGTGCACCACAAGGGTCCTAGTTTCAGCCTGGAGCCAATCTTCTGAGCTGCCTGGTTGTCTGAGAGACTGGTGGGGCAGCCTGGTCATGAGCCTATTTGCATGAGACTGAGGACTCTCCTGCAAGAGACGTCATCATCACAAGGGCTGAGGGAGCTTGTTCAAGCTCGACCAATGAGCAAGGCTGGGGCACTGGAAGAGAACCGCGATCACAGCCTAGAGCAGTGTCTACGGTAGGTTTCTTCCCAGCTGCCTGTGGACACAAATCAAGTCACACAGCAGGAGGAAGCTATGAACACCAAGTTCCAGAAAATGCAGCAAGGTCCTCCTTTGACATCCCATCAAAGAGGTGAGTAGTATTCTCCCTGCTTTTGCCCTAAACCAAAGGGGCATCAGGAACTTGATGGCTCCAGTAGATCCAGCACCTGCCCAGGCCCCTTGGGGCTGCTCTGCAGGAGTAGGAACACCCCACTGCCAGCAGTGGAAACAGCACCAGCAGCCTGAGACAACCCCCTTGCCACAGACATCTAAGTGTTGGCCAGCAGGGTCCCCAAGGGGCCACCAGGAAGAGAGCAGGGCTGTTAGCTGACCTGGCCGCAGTGAGCTGGAGCAGGTGAGGAGGAAACTGGTAAACGCCACATGGTGGCAGACAGGAGTCACTTAGGCAGGCCCCGTGCACCGCACCTGGAGACTCCGGAGGAGATTAACGGCACGAGACTTCGGGGCAGGCGGGCGTTTCCGTAACTGATGGACACCACCTGGGCCGGGAAAGGAACGTGCTGGGGGCGGCTCCGAGTCTTATCTCCTGTGTAACCCCAGGCTAACAGGCTGTCCCAGTCTGAGGAAACTCAGGTCAGAACCTCTTAGGTTTTCACAAATATGAATAAAGTGGAAAACTAAATCTTAGCCTGTAAATCTGTGAATTATTTTTTGTAAATTGCAATCAGCCTGAGCTTCTCCACCCCTCCCCCAACCCTTATAAAACTTTGTGGATGACTTCAGCATTACTTTCCTTCTACACATGCCAAAATGCTGAGTCACAAAAAAAAAAAAAAAAAAGGAAAAGAAAGTAGAAGAGTGATCCTCCTGCTTCTTAGGCTCCTTGGTCATGAGCTAAGCAGCACTTTTCGTGGTGATTGCTGTGATGCTAAAGGACGTCACGTCAGTTGCGAAATCTTAATAAGGTTTCCAATCAGCCCCACCCACCACCCTGGCCCACCTCCTCCCTCCACACGACTTATCAAATGTGGGATTTTCCCATGAGTCTCAATATTAGAGTCTCAACCCCTAATAAATATGAGACTGAGGATGTCTGAGGCTCATTCTGTCCTCGAGCCCACCAGGAAGAAAAGAGAGCTCCATCTCCCTCCAGGAACCCAGCTATGAACGCCCTCTGCACAAGTAAGTGAAGGAAATCCCTAGCCTGGGAACTGCCTGGAGCCCTGCCTGGGTGAGAGAGAGGGTTTGCGCCGCCGCGAGGGCTGGCAGGCGGCCAGCAGGCAGAAGCTCAGCTTCCGCAGCGGGCCGGGCCGCTCACTGCTGCTCTCCCTTCCCTCCGGCACAGACACCTTCAGCCAGTTGGCCTTCTCCCTGGGGCTGCTCCTGGTGATAGCTACTGCTTTCCCTACCCCCGTTTCCCTGGGAGAAGATTCCAAAGAGGAGACCACCTCAAAGAGATCACCACTCACCTTTCCAGAGCAAACTGAAAAACTTATTAAGACCATCATGCTCGAAATCTCTAAAGTGAAAGATAAGGTGGGTAAGCTCAATGGAGGGTGACGAAAGGCCTGCCTGGGCATGCATCTCCTTGCCCCTGGATGGTGACAGGAGCTTGTGCACTGGGAGGTCTTTGCTGGATTCTTCTGGGGCACTTCAGATTTGAAGCCAAAGAGGCAGGCTGTCTTCTCTATTTCTCTTCTGCTGCTGGTCTCAGGAGATTCCTTTCCCTCATGGAAAATACAGAATGGAGTTGGAGTCCCATGACCCCTGGTCCACCCCCAACTCCATTACTGACATGAGCTAAGGGTCACTATTTCTTAGACCTCCCTCTTCGCTAACCAAAGAATAAGGTCTGTCAACCTATTTTTATGTCCCTTGGACTTTGGAAGAGTTAGAAAAGTGCCACCTGAAACGAATGTTCAGTTTCTCAGGACAGTCACAGTACTTTTAGGTTGTACAAGCTCAGTAGTTAGGGACTCCCCAGAGTCATTCCAGCTTATAAAATGCAAACCTGATAGCCTACCCAGGTCGCAAATCAGAGGTGAGTTAAAGCAGCCCTCAAGCTTAAATGCAAGGTAGTTTGGTTCTGTTTTGTAGAAAGGAAAGAACCCAGTTCTAGTTGTAGTTCTGCTGAATTGGCTTTGTGATCTTGGGCAGATTTCCGACCACCTCCGGTTCTACCTGTAAAATTGTGGGACTGGACTAGATGATATCACAAGTCCTTCCAACTGGAACATTCTATGGCTCGAATTATATTCACCCAATTGTCATCAAAGTTGCTGTCCTTATTAAGTACCTACTTTGTGCCAGACAATTGTGCCTAAAAATTGTGCCAGACAATTTTTATAAATATTATGTCTCATCCTCACAACAGACTCATAAGGGGGTGTTTCATTTTCCCCAGTTTAGAGAGGGGGACACTGAGACTTGGGATAGGTAACAAGCCTGAAGTCACAGGTGAGCCTGGGATTGACCCCAAGTGCACCCACCTCCACTAGATCTTTCTTGCCCGGAAGCTAACGGGTTGTAACTTCATTTTTCTTGGAGAACTTCCTCGCCGTGTAGAACACGATAGGCCCTCTAGTGGTCTTTGTTTTAGGGGCACTTACATGATAACAGTTCTGGTGTTTCTGCCCAGATGTGTGACAACCATGAGGCATGTAAAAACAGCAAGGAGGCACTGACAGAAAACAACCTGAACCTTCCGAAACTGACAAGCGGAGATGGATGCTTCCAATCTGGATTCAGTCAGGTACCAACACATCTCATTCACTGTTGGCTATTCCTTAGTCAGTTCTTCACATTGCATGCAGGGTCTGTGTGCATATAGACCAGGCAGGCAACTAAGAAGATGATAGATATAAAGAATACCATGCAAATTTCATGAGGAGGCCAACAGAAATCTTCGTAAAGGCAGCATATTTTTGAATGGTGTGGTCAGGGATAGCCTACCTGCCCTGTGATTTTTACAACTGACAAATGTGAGAAACCTCAGCAGATTTAGCTACTTTATCCTGTGGGAGGTGGTGGTTCAGTGACCTTTCCCCTCCTTGGCTGCCCTCCCTGCTGAGGTCAGTATCTACACCTTTCCCCTCCGGGCAGTCAGATAACCTGCCCTGACTTCTGATTATTCCATAAAAGGTTTTAGCCCAACACTGACAAGGGGAGGAGTTCAGAGAGAGGGATGAGCCTGAAAGCAACAATCAGAGAAGGACACCTGGCCACATTCTAGCCTCTGTCGGGCTTTGGGTAAAATTAATTAAGTGGTGTCTCTGATTTGTCCAGATGCTTAAAATAGGGCAGCTGATGCTGTCTGATGTCTCAAACAGGATGCCTAAAAAGTGCTTGAAGTTCCCGGTGGGGGAGATGGGTGGTTAGAGGCTAAAATCAATTATATCTTCCTGGCAATAACCAATTTTCCCACCATCTTTCCTTTTAGAAAACTTGCTTGATGAGACTCACCGCAGGTCTTGCAGAGTTTCAGGTATACCTGCAGTACCTCCAGAGCACATTTGAGGACAATGCCAAGGCTATGCAGATGAGAATCAAAGCCCTGGTCAATATCCTGAGGCAGAAGGTGAGTGTCACCTCCTCTCCTCACTGGGTGTGGGGAAGAGTCTCAAAGAAAGCAGCCCAGACACCTCGGGAATGCAACGCCAATGCAAAAGAGAGGTCCCCATGCCAAGGAAAGGATCTAGGAATATTTCCTGATAGTTAAAACTTTTTTTTCTTTTTTTTTTTTTTGCTCTCTTCTGCAAAGGACACCAATAACTATATTTCAAACGATGTTAAATGAGGTGGATTTTAACATCAATCTCTAACAGCTTAAGAATAAGGAAAGAAGTATCTGTAGAGGCAGAAGAAAACATGTCAAACCCTGCTCTGGGGTCCACAGTAACAAATAAGAGAGCACAAAAATTATTTTAATATTTTAATTATCGCCAAGTGACATTCTTGTCATTATGGTAGTTTCAACTCCTTTTCCCAACTTTCTGCCAGAAGAGTTAATGCAGAGAAATGGCTAAAGGCTGGAAGAACAGGTACAAAGTGTCTGGTACTACCAACCGGCCATTCGGATGCCACATAATGGAGGCTTGATGGCACAGTGTACGGATGAGCCAAACAAAGCTCACTGCATGGGGGAAGCCCATGGGTGCTAACCCTGCCTCTGCCTTCCAGCTGTTTGCCTTAAACTGGGGCATCTCCCTCTTTAATGAGCACTTGGATGCCCTGGGGGTCTTGTTCCGAGGCAGGGTCCCATTCAGCAGGTCTGGGGAAGACCTGAGACTCGAGTTTCTAACCAGCTCCAGGCGATGCACACACTGCAGTGCTCGGGACCACACTTGGAGGTATCTCACCTCAGTGGGTCTAACAAAGGTGTTTCCCAGCCCTCTTATACCTCTAGATCAGGGGACTCTCAATGGATACTGAGGAGATGGGTGAGAGAGAGACCGAAGAAAAACATTAGAGTCTGAGACCACTTGAGGACTCATTGAGAGGCCTCTAATTATAGGCTCTTCATTTTTTATTGAATGCCAACTATGTGTCAGGCACTGCTGAGGACAACAGAGGACAAATAAAATGCTGTAGCTGCCCTCAGGATGCTTATGATCTAAAAGACACGGAGCAGCACAGGGACGCTCAGAATTCAGTTGTCGTGAGAGGGTGGCCTCGAAGCAGAAGCACCTCTCCCTCCCTGGGCTAGTCAGGGCAGGTGGCCCCAATCAGACTTCTTCACCCCAGATTTGAACCCCTTCCCACAGCCCAGAGCATCCTTCCACGGAAAAGGATTTTTTCAACATTTAAACAATTCTTTCTGTTTTCTTTTCCCCGTGGATAAAGAGTCCAGATGAAGAAGCCATCCCTGAGCCCACCACAGACACTGGCCTGCTGGAGCAGATGCGGTCGCAGAACGAGTGGAGGAAGACCACGACGACCCGCCTCATCCTGCGGAGCCTTGAGGACTTCCTGCAGTTCACCCAGAGGGCTGTCCGGATAATGTAGCCGGCATGTGAGAGGGCTGTACTTCAGGGACACTCCTTCCTCTGTTCAAAAAACTGTCCAATGGGCACATAACTTATGTTGTTCTCTATGAAGAACTAAAAATATGAACATTAGGACACTATTTTATTACTTTTAATTTATTGCTATTTAAGTATGTGATATTGAGTTAATTTATATAAGTGATATTTATATTTTTATAAAATGCCACTTGAAATATTTTATGTGTTAGTTTTGAAAAAATAACATAAAATCGTTATACAGTTTGAATACCCTCATTTCAGAGCCAGATCATTTCTTGAAATGTGTAGGCTTACCTCAAATTGCTAACTTATACATGGTTTTTTAAAAAAATATTTATAATGTATTTATATAATGTTTAAATTGTTTTTATGCCAGTAAAGCCATTTTTTAAAAATCAGCTACTATGTGTCTGTGAGTCCTGTGAAGCTAAATGTAAAAAGTTTCCGTCACCACCACCACCAGCACAAACAGCTACCGTCACCTGGAGAAAGATATAGTTGAGCTCCTGCTCTTGCTGCATGCCAGGCGCCATGCTAGTTGTGTTGCATCCGTCATCCTTGCAAGCGCTTGAGTGGATGTGGGAGAGGAAGTGATTTCCCCAAGTCACCCAGCTGGAAGGCAAGGCACAGGCCCAGATTTTAAATCCAGGCCTACCTACCTTCAGGGCCCTTTCTCTTAACCTTTAGATCCCATTGCCTCCCAGGGAACAGAAAGATAGTGTCAAAAATCCCAGAACATGTTAAAACAAGGAAAACATGTCAAGATGCAATTAAAAGCCCTTGAGATGATACAACCTCTTGATCAAGACAGCAATGTGCAAGCTTCCAAATAAAATAAAAATTCTGCCACCTTCTGGGTTCCTCAAACACTGCACCTACCCGTCCGTCACAGCACCTACCGCCTTGTAACATATCTTTAAACTGATGGGTTTTTCTTTCCAGCCAGCCTGTGGGGTCCTCAAGAAGGCAGACCTTATTGTATATACTTTGCATCCTACACCCATGGCCCAGAACCTGAACATAGAAGACCCCAATAAACATTTGTTGAATGAAGGAACTGTACATAGATAATCAAATATAAGGCACTTCAATTCTTGGGGACATACACTGTTGTTCAATGGGTGGGGAAATTAGTAATACTGTGCACTAGTGAATCTTCATCTTAAGGAAAACAGCAAGAGTTAGAACATTCTAAGAACTTCTAGAAGAGGCAATGCATGTATATCTATCTCTGTTTCCTTTCCCAGCAGTAATAGTTCGCATCCACTCTCTCCCCGCACCCGCTCCAGAGCGGTGGTGAGAGAGGCATTCTGGGTAACATCGTATGGCCTCTCCACTCCACCTCAACACGATGCTGGGAATTTGGTAGAGATTTCCCCTTTCCAACCCCAACAATGTAAAAGTTTTGTCTTCTAATAAAGCCTTCCCCACCCTAACCACCATACACTTCTTCCTCCAAGGAAAGTCCAAAGAAGTCAGAAACTGAGAGGAGCTAAGCAAGAAAAGAGCCACATACTCTGATTTCTAGAAACCGTGCACCATAAGCAGCTTCCCGAAATCCAGGCCAGATCAAAGAACAGAGAGAAACAGCAGTCGACCGATGCATCCATTCTTCGAACAAAAATGTGTTGAGCACCATATATGTCAGGTAGTGCTGGGGAAGCTGAGAGGAACAAGCTAGATGTGACCCCTGTTCTCACAAGGTTTACACTGAGGCATGGAAGCCAGACATTGAACAAAGAATGTAAGTGTGACGAGGTTTACAAAAGAGAAATGTTTGGTGTATGAGAACCTATCCAGGGGGCATCGACAGCAGGGGAACCTAACTCAGACCAGGGAGGGCAGTCATGGAGCCTTAATTGAAAAAGAGAGGTTGAGGTTTTGGCTGAGATGCGAAAGATGTGCAGCAGTTAGCCAGGGCCAAGATGGGTGGGAAGAGCATTCCAGACAGAGGGAATGGCATGTGCAAAGGTCTGAATTAACGAAGAAAAGCACACTATGGTTGAGACAATGAAAACTACATTATACCCAGTCCATGAAGAACAGGAAAGAGGGTGGTTGAGAGGGGGGCTGGTGCAGAGGGAGGCTGGGACCCTCAGATCACTGACAGCATCAGAAGCCATATTCAATATTTTGGAATTTATCCTGTATGTGGTAAGAAAGCATTGACAGGTTTTAAGAAGTGGAATGACATGTGAGATTCCCATTTTAATAGGATCATTCAGGTTGCGGTGCTGAGAATGGACAGGAAAGGGGACGGAAAGGAAGTTGGAGACACATGCTGGAGGCCTTCACTGTAGTCTGGGGGAGAGGTGACAATGTTCTAAACTAGGATGGGGAACACCTAGAGGAGGGAAGGCAATGCCAGCCACCAACAAAAGGTAGCTGGGATGGGTTCAGTAGGATTTGGGGATTGCTGACCAAGACCCGGGAATTTCCAAGGACACCACAGCTTTGGGAGAGGGAAGAAGTAGGGGTTGGATGGCAGAGTAAAGCACAAAGGATTTGAGATTTGAGCATATTCATTCATTCATTCAAATATTGCGTGAAAATCTGCAATGTGCCAGATTCTCCACTGGGCCCTGGAGACACTGGGGTGCATCAGGCAGACTAGGTTTCTGCTCCTAAGGAGCTCACAGTCTGGGGAAAACAGCTTAAAGAAATAACCAATATACTGTATGCTAAATATGTGTGTTACGACGAGAGTTGAATTGTGTGCCCTAAAAAGGTATGTCAAAACCCTAATGGCAGCACCTATGAATGTGACCTCCCTTGAAAATCAATCTTTGCAGATGTAATCAAGATAAGATGAGGTCATCAGTGTGGGGCTTACAAGAAGAGAAGAGAAGAGACACACAGGGCAGAAGTCTCTGGAGATGAAGGCAGGTATTTGAGAGATGGATTTATAAACCAAGGGACACCAGTGATTGCAGACAACCACCTCTTCAGTTATGCCATGAAAATGACCCGAACATTCACAAGAGAGAAAGCTGCAGAGAGTCGGCAGTCCAGATTCCACTCCTAAAAGCAGGAAGAGGCAAGGAAGGATCCTCCCCTCAAACCTTCAGAAACAGCCTGACCTTACTCACAGCTTAATTTCAATACCTAGGCTCCAGAACTGTAAGAAAATACATTTCTATTGTCTTGTGGTAGGTAGTTGGTTACAGCAGCCTCAGGAAACTATTACTCTTACTTTGGTGACACACGGTAGGAAAGTCTAATCTAAGTGTTTGTAAAAGGCTTCCCAGAATAAATGACATTTAAGCTCATATCAAAAGGAGGTATAGGATTGAGCCAGTTTAGTGAGGGGGGTGGGGGATGGTCCAAGCAGAGATCATGGCACGTGTGAAGGCTCAGATGAAGGAGAAAACATAATGGGAGAACTGATGGAATCCTAAATTGCTGACACTCAAAGGGAAAAGCAGTAGAAATGAAGCTGAAGCAGCGGCGTCCAAGTCACAGAGAGCCTCAAGGGAGGTTAAACAGAATCGTTAATGTTACAGACAGATGAAGAGCAACTTCCTTGGAACATTTTTGACTTGGGATTTCTTCTGTTTGTTTGCTTTTGACTTTTAAATGCTGTGGGGTTTTTCCATTTCTTCCAGCGGCATGGGGTAAGAAGGCTGGGATCCAGACGTAGTGTCTAAAAGAGATCCAGTTTTCTATGGCAGGTTCCAGCAAAAGGGCAGATAGTACCAGGGAGGCAAGAGGCAAAAAAAAAAAAAAAGAGAGAGAGAGAAAGAGAAGGCAATAAGGCACACCTGTGGTAGGTGTGACTTCTAACACTGTGATGTCTAACTCATAAAACTTCCCTGAGCTTTACTCACCGACATAAAGCAAATGTACAGCAGCCTTATTCGAGCCTAGCTGTGGAGAACAAAGGGAGGTTCATGTCCACATTTTGGGGCAAAACAGACAGTGCATGGCTGAAAACACAGGAAGACTCAACGAAGGGATCCAAGAAAAATCAAAGGTAAGTCTCAAGAGAAAAGCAACAGGCAAAATCAAGAATAGCCAGGAAGATTTAGGAAAGGTTTGAATTTCCTGCAGAAGGCTTGAGATGGAGACACTGCTTATTATATTTGGATGCTAAAGGAAAGGATTACCTCCAAAAGTTAGGGTCCTGGGGCACTTCAATTACACTACAAAAATGACCCAAAAATCTGCAAGAGAGAAAACTGCAGGGAGCCAGTGTCCAGTTTCTACTCCTTATCAGGAGTTCTGGTGAGTTAAGAATTCGAAGAAAGAAAAAAAACCACCTCACCCACTCTAAGAACAGACTAACCATGACAATGATGAGAACAGCATGCCTAACTGTCATTGAGCACTTTGTGTCAAGCACAGTTCCATGTACGTATCATGTCAGAGGCACATGTATTAGCCAAAGGAGCTGAGAGTCTAAGAAACTTGTGTGAAGTCATAAAGTGTATAAATTCCACAGCAGACTGCTAGTTACCCTTTCAAATCCATTCTCCACTTCTCTCATAGTGACAGAGTTTGAATTAGACATGCGTCTACCCATCTGGAGGCTACGTTTACCGTTCTCCTTTGCAGGTGGGTGTGGCTGTGCTGAAGAAAGAACGAACGTAGCAGGCCTGAGGCTGCTATTTTAGAAATGCCTGCGTACAAGCCTGTCCCTTGGCTGGCCTCCGGGAACTTGACTAGTAAACAGTTCCCGATACTAATATAAGTCCCCCCACATGGTAAGAGTGTCTACAGTGTTTGCACAAACGATATGGTTTACACAAATCACCTTCCCTGTGGATAATCTGAAATTTTAATTCATGAGAAGCAGAAGGTGCCCCAGGAAGAACTTTGGGTACTCAGTTGCTAAAGAATTTCCCTGGTAGACACATGTTGTTACGACTCATTCTTGGAGGAATTAAGAGCATCCTGTGTGAATCCCCCGGGAGAGGACTCTTGGAAGCGCCTGCCTGATTTTTCTCCAGAATTCAGCCTATCTGTCTTCCCCTTGGCTGAGTTCCATTTGTATTCTTTTGCTGAATAAACCATAGTCTGTGACTCATATATGCTGAGTCCTGTGTGCCGTCCTCTCAGTAAAACGCTGAACCGGAGGGTGGTGTTAGGAACCCTTGATACAATGGCTCTTTTCAGCAATGAAATGTGAGTAGAACTGATGTAATTTTACTTTCACTTGCCCTAAAAGGTATTAACTGCCCTCCCTATCTGACCTGTCACCTTTCTGCGGGCAGGAATAGAAATGCAATGGTGAATCAGCTTCCACCATGCAGAGCACAGCAACGTCCATAGCGGCAATGTCCGATACAGCACACAGTAGCCACTTGTGTGTGTTTAATTTTAAAGTTAAATTTATTGAGAGTACATAAAATTCAAATTAAGATTTGTCAA